GCCCAAACCCGAAAGGCCCCAGGAAGATAGGTTGAAGCCTCATAAGCCTGGTAAAAGTGCACTAAGATTCGTTGAGGGGGCCTTACATAGTTGGTACCCAGACCCCCGGGAGGATCTAAAAAGTAGAACCCCTAATTTGGGACCCTAAACCCTAAACCCTAAACCCTAAACCCTACACTACTAAAGGCTCTTTATGGGAACCCCCATTAAGGGATCTACTTTTTGGATCCTCCCGGCGGTCTGGGTAAGCAGGCTGTAACACCGCAAAATTTTGTAAAGCTAAAAAGTGGACCCGAGCCATAACCCAGACCCCCGGAAGGATCCCAAAAGTAGATCCCTTAATGGCGGTTCCTATAAAGAGCCCTTAGTAGTATAGGGTCCCAAATTAGGGGATCTACTTTCTAGATCCTTCCGGGGGTCTGGGAACCTGCTTCTTCTGAACCATGATCCTTCGTGTATCTCTGAGGGGTCCCAAAATCACGAACCCCAATCCCTAAACAACCAAAGCCACAGGCCCAATTCCCTAAGCCCTAATCACGAGCACCCAATTATCCCTAATAGAAACCCAGAGAAGACTCACTGCACAACCTAATCCCAACAAGTTGAATCCAGCCCGCTTCGGGGGTCAACTACCAGTAGCTAGCAATGATACCACTTTCCAGTCGCTCGAATGTTGTGCCCTCAGGGCTATTTTCTACCCTGCACCCGAAACTGAAGAGCCAGCCCTAGAGTCATGAGACCCTGAACCATTACACTTCGTCTTGCACCTTTTAAAGATCAAGTGGCAGAGCGATGAAGTGATTTTGTTTGTCTTGCCTGCCGTCTGATATGCAGCGGCATGACGTGTGAGCCTCTACAAGACTTTCGTCGCCGCGGTCGAAGTTCTTACAAGCAAGGAACACGCTTCGTCCACCGTCCTGTTCTTCCTAGGGGCCACCCTTTGGGTCCTGGTTTCCGGCGGCAATTGCCGCCAAGTTGTCCAAGCCTTGGCAAAAGCTGACTGCTAAGAACCCCTCGACCGTGCTGTTCGACTTCCTGGCAACGCCAAGCTTGGTGGAAGGGCCGGCGGACACGTGCTGATGAGGAGGCTGTGGTGGAGGATCCAACGGCGGAGGTGCGGCGAAAGCATCTGATAAGGCTCAGAACAGCGCAGTGAAAAAGGGGCCACCTGCGGTCGCACACCCTCGAAAGCATTGTTCCAGCTCTTCAGGCCCCTAAACCTTAAACTTTGAACCCGAGACTCGCCTCAGACTCTCAACCTTAGACCCCTGAGTCCTAAACCTTCAACCCTAAACCTTCAAACCCTAAACCCGTAAACCCTCAACCCTAGACCCCTAAATCCTAAACCTTCAACACCAAGCCCTCAAACAAACAAAGAACCCGAAACCCCTAAACCCTCAACCCTGGACCCCTAAATCCTAAACCTTCAACCCTAAGCCCACAAACCAACAAAAACCCTAAACCCCTAAACCCCTAAAGCCCCAAAAGTCGCTCTAAGATAGGGGCCTTAATTAGAATAGGGTTTTGGGGCCCACTCTACCATAAGTATAATAAGGAGCCTCCAAAGCCTATTCCAATTATTGAGGCCCTTAAACCCTCAAACAAAGAAAACCCCTAAACCCCTAGAGCCTCGTTTTGGGGCCCATTATACTATAATAATAACAATAAGGCGCCCCCAAAAGCCTATTCTAATTATTGAGGCCCCTAAACCCTAAACCCTAAACCCTAAACCCTAAACCCCTAAACCCTAAACCCTAAACCCTAAACCCTAAACCCTAAACCCTAAACAGTGATGCCTCGCAAAGGAGCCTCTGGGGCTTCCGGGAGCGTCCTCCCTGGCGGCAAACAGGCCTTCAGGGGGTTTAGGGTTTAGGGTTTAGGAGTTTAGGGGTTTAGGGGTTCAGGGTGTAGGGGTTCAGGGGTGCAGGGGTTTAGGGTTTAGGGTTGAGGGTTTAGGGTTTACGGTTCAGGGTTCAGGGTTGAGGGTTTATAGGGTTTAGGGTTTAGGGGTTTAGGGTTTTAGATTCAGCCGGGGGGGGGGCCGTAATTTTGAGGGCTGAATAGAAGGTTTAGGGTTTAGGGTTTAGGGTTTAAGGTTAATTATATAGGGTTTGGGGTTTAGGCCTTTTGGGGATTACGTAGATTAGGGTTGAGGTCTTAATAGGGTTTGCTGTGGAATAGCGCGTAGGCGACAGTATCTTGGGACAAGGCTTCCGCCCCTGGACAGCTTTCCGACGCCTGAAGATCTAAAGCAGATGGTGCAGGAGGCACCCTCCCCGGCGGATCCAACAATCCGCACGCCGGCTCTGGTTTTTGCTGAGAACCGGTGCGCGGAAATTCTGGTGTCATTGCGCAAGTGGGAGCCCCTAAACCCTAAACCCTAAACCCAAAACCCTGCAGCTCCTGCGTGTGTATCACACCGCACCGGCGGCGGTTAAAATCGTACTATGGCGATGAGCTTGGAAAGCCATACTTGGAGGTTCATGGGACTAAATAAGTACAGTTATAAGTACCCTAAATTGGGGTTATAAGTATGGTTACCTTATTTATAACCCTAGTTACTAAGTCCCATGAGCCTTTAAGTAGAAGGCTTTTCCTTTTATCTCTCCCATTGAGTTAGGGCCGTTAGGGATTAGGGCTTGGGTTTAGGGCGGGTTTCCGGATTTGGGTTTAGGGTACAGGACGTTAGTGAGTAGACTAAGATTTTGTACTCAGTTTTTGTGCTAAAGTATCTGACAATTACAAGAAGGAGCTTAAGAAATAGAACTTGCAATTTTTCAGGCCCCTAAATGTCGGTTCTTTCTTGTTTCTAGAGCGTGTGGCGTGCGGGGTTTTACATCTTCTTTGGCAGGGCTTGTGAGGGTTTTGTGGTTTCGGCTTTGGGGTTTGGGGCTAGGCTTGCGTTTGTTGGTTTCGGGTCTTACGGTTTACGATCCAAAAGAGATTATAAGAGTTTAGGGTTTAGGGTTTAGGATCAGGCCTTTCTGTCTAGAGCTCCAAAGCCCCACGTAGAGCTTTTGGGTACGTCCGAAGTCATCACACGCTGCCCTCACCGCCTCTCTCGGAACCGGGCGCCGGGCGTCTTCCAGTCATGGCATTCCAGAAAGAATTCCCGAGCCCTGGGCTCCGGACCTTAAGCCTTAACGATATATCCTGTACCCTGAACCCTAAACCCTAAACCCTAAACCTTCCTCTACCATGAACCCTAACCGTTTTAGCTAAACCCGAGCCCGAAACCCGAAGCAAAGCAAGCTTATGGTGAAGTGAGGACAGCGTATGAGTGATAAGGCGTGCAGCTTTTCAGCGTTGGGTTCACGGCATGCTTGGAAGATCAGGCAGCACAGTAAACATGCATCCGGCATCCGCATCGAAGGAGGGGAGGTTTATCGACCAAGGTTCCGCATCATAAATACTAACCCCCCCACCGGAAACCTTAGTTCTAAATCCTTAATCCGAGAAGCCTAAACCCTAAACCCTAAATCCCGAACGGTAGGTTGTTTTTTGGCTCACGCAGGGTTTGAGCCTGTAGACCCTCACGCCCCTGGAGCCATACAACTGATGAGAGCCTTACGTGATGAAAAGCCTGCGACAGCCTCGTTAAAAAAACCCTAAACCCTAAACCCTAAACCCTAAACCCTAAACCCTAAACCCTAAACCCTAAACCGCAAACATTCCATCCCTAAGCCTTAGACCCTAAACCCTAAACCTTAAACCTCTGCAAATCACCGACGCTGCAGAAGGCGCCGGGACCGGGAGCTCTTTGATGCCGCTGTGGGGCAGCTGCTCTCTGGCGAAGGGTCCTCACCTCAGCGCAGAGAGCTTAAGCCCTAAACCCTCGGTTTAGGGTCTAGGGTTTAGGGTTTGAGGTTTAGGGCTTAGGGTTTAGGGTTTAGGGTAAATCCTAAGCGCTTATCCCTAAACCCTTAAACCCTGAACCCCAAACCCTGAAACGGCAGGGCAGGGAGGCTTAGGGTTTAGGGCTTTAAGGTTTTTATTTTAATCTAAGGTAGAACCCATGGGCCCCTAACATGGGCTCTTAGGGGATTCCAGAGTCCCTTAAGGGTATATATAAGGTATATAGTAGGTATATTAGGGTCTCAGGGTCAAGGGCCCATACTAGGGGCCCATGGATTCTACCTTAGATTTAAGCGCCTTTGGTTTCGGTTTGGGGTTGAAGGCCCGCTTGTATTCAGCGGCTCTCAACTGGTGTTGTAATCTTGCTTTACGGGTTTAGGGTTTAGGGTTCTGGTGGCGCTGAAGTGGGAATTCGGTAAGCGGTACCTGGGTTCGGGCAATCGGCCAGAGTCCGGGATTTTTATCGTGCGCAGGCGCACTGGAGGTGCATAACCGAGCCCTAAATCCTAGTTGAAAAGCCCTGAACCCTTCAACTTACCTGGTCTCTTGGGTGCCTTTAGGCGGGCAACTTAGGGTTCAAGTTTTTCGTATGCCGGATGTACTTGTTGCGGATCCGAAAGGGCCCCGATTTGGAGAACTGAAAACCCTAAACCCTAAAC